AAAAAACCAAAACAAAACAAAAAAACCCCACATTTTGGATGATTCCCCAAGCTGTCAGCCAGCGCCGCAAACCCCGAGCGCCCCGCACCGCACCCAAGGGCGAGCTCCAGCTCCTAAAATTATTAATAACAGCCCTCTTCCCCCAGCAAGGTCGCGCCTGGCCCACACGACCCGCGGGGAGTCGCAATATTTTAAGTGCCAGGAAAAGTCATGGAAAAATTTAAACCCCGGCCCTGAAGCCATCTGCATATCATCATCGTCCACCTAACGAATGGGAGGAGGATGGGGATGGGGGGGGAGGATGAAGCCCTGCAGGTGCCTTCCAGAGGCAGCAGCTGCTGGGAGCTGCAGAGCTCAGACGATATTCCCGTCAGAAAGGCTGGGCGGCTGCTCAGGGAGTCAAGGTTCCAGACAAAGACACCAAAAAATAAAAAACACCAAACCAAACCACCCCCCCAAAAAAGAAACCCCACTAGGATAACGCTTTGAAATAAGACTCGGCGCTTTGAAGCGTCACACCAGCAGCGAGTACGGTCTTGCTGGCCCCGGGGGGGGGGAGAGAGGGCGATGTGACGGTGCGACGGTGTGACGTGGGTGTGCGAGGAAGGCTCGGCAGACGGGATTTCCTGGCGCTGGGTGCCCGGGCGTTGTGCCCCCGGCAGCGCAGCACACCTGGAACCCATTGCACCTTCCCCTCCTGTCCAAACCAAGAGTTTGGGGGGCAAAAAAAAAGAAAAAAAAAAAAAAAGACAGAAAATAGAGACCTGAGGAAGAGCACGGATGCCTGAACACCCGGCATCAGAGAAGGTGCAGACCCAGATCTCCCCACCCTTCCCTGAAGGAACGAGTGGAGCAAAACCGCAGCGTGGAGGAGCGTGCTTCCCACCCAGCATTGCCCAGGCTGGCCAGGAGTTTCACTCCCAGCAAGTCCAGCCCGAGCTGGCTGGGTTTGCAGCCGCACCCCATGTACGGGCAACTTGCAGCAATGGCATCTAATGCAGAACTGTATTTTAAGACAGAAATAAACAGGCCTCTGGAAAACAGCAGTGTTATCGGCCTCTTGCCACTCAAATCTGCAGCATTTCTCTCTAAATTCTGATCCCCGTTTCTCTATACTGCACTTGAAGGGCTCTCCAGACCCGATGCCCTCAGCCAAGAACACCAGACTTGGGGAAGGACAGCAAAGTCTTCCAGGGGCTGCGCGTGACCTTGTACAAAGCATTTCATCAAATTCTTTCCCGTTCCCAAGACAGGGAATTACCTCTCTCAATTATCAGGGAAGAAGCTGAACGTGTGAACGTTTTGCCTTGTGTTCTGCCACCCTCCAACAGAAGCTCCTCTTGTTGACGCCTCCAAGGTCGCCAGTTGCAAACCCAGACCGGGGTTTTCACCCTCAGTCCCGCAGCCTGAACGCCTCCGGAGCCAGGAGATCCCCACGGGCAGGGGAGAGCTGCCCGCAGGTACAGCGGAGGCACCATCCACGCTTCCTACAGCAGCATCCCGCTGCTCATCCGTCAATACCAGACCCGAAACAATCGACACCTTTGTCTCTCTGGCGTGCACGCGTTCACACCGCTTTCCTCACTCGATTCCCTGCCTATTGCTGCGCCGAAGCCACATGACAAAAGCCCCAGGCATCCGCGACAGCTGCCTGTGAAGCTGCCCACCCCTCGCTGCAGGGGAGAGGGGTGGCAGCAGTTGAATTCGGCTCCCTCCATGCCCAGACGCCTCAGCAGCTCGTCCGAGACACAATTTACGAGACGCAAGAGCAACGCTGGAAGGACCCGACGCGGCAAATCAGCACTAATGTCCCCCAAGCCACGGCCAGGGAAACGCCGAACATGCCGTGACAAAGAGAGCGGTGCCAAAAAGGAAAAAGAGCAGCAGCTCCCGGGGACCAGCATTGCATCACAGCCTCCAAAAGGTTGTGCTCAGACAGAAAAAATAAACCACTTTCCAGTTCACCTCTCCCCACCCGTCTGTGATGAAAACCAAGCAATAAACATCGCCACTGGATGAACTCCAGAACCAAGTAACCCAACCACCCGCTCGGCACCTGGGATGAGGCTGTTACCCAATGCCCCTGTTTATTTCCCAGTCTCGTTTTATCGGTTTCACAACACAAAGCTCCGCGCACAGGTTGAAACGCTGACCCCGATCCTTTCCCCCTCCTTCCACTATTACTTTCAGACCAAGAATAAAACAAACAAAAAGGAAAAACCCACCCCACACACATCCCTAGAGCCCTCTAACTGAACCATAATTTAGCGTTATGCCATTCCTAAGCAGGGACCCACTTTTCCCAAGTGCTAAACACGCACAATGTACAGAGTACCGCTCGCTTGGATGGGTACCAGAGGGCAAGAGCCCCCCGCAAAGGCTCCCCTTCCCCCCACCCACCACAGGCAAAAGAAGGTCCTGCTTACCTCTTTGGTCAGGTCTCCGTTCACCGGGGCAGCCACTGCTCCCAAATCTTCCAGTTCTTCCCCAAAGCCCTGCTCAGCTCCGCTCTCTCTCACCCCGTTGTCAGGGCTGCTCCCATCCTGCAGGCCGCCGCCGTTCTCTAGGGCGATGCCGGCGTTGGGCTGGCTACCAGACACAGAGCCTTCGGGGTCTCTGTGCACCAACCAGGCGTTGACTTCAGTGGTGGGCACCTGAAACCTGTCCAGGGCCCTCACCTGGTTGAGCAGCCTGCGAGCCGTGAAGTAATAGTCCAGGTCTACACTTTTTGGGTGGATGCCATATCCATCCAAGGTGTTACGCAGGTTGTGAAACTGGGTCTGGGTGTAAGCAGAGCTCTGGCCAAGAATGATCTCTCGGAGAGGTGGGAGCTGTGAGTTCAGGTAGGTGTCCACGTCCACACGAACACCGATCAAGCTGAGCAGAATGGTGAACTGGATGAGGCCTTCGGTGAAATATTTCTTCAGAGAAAGCATTTCTGGCAGAGGAGAAAAGAAAACAGGTGGAGGGTTTTGGGAATTAAAAAAAAAAAACAAAACAAAACAAAACCAAAACAACAAAACACCAGCGTCGGATGAATTCTCCACACAACAGGTTGGTTGGGTTTGTCTTTCTTCTGCCCCACTTTCAAACAAACAAAAAAAAAAGCAATGACTCCGGCATTCAGGTTATCGCTCAACAACAGGATAAAAGTTTAAAGAACATTCAAGACTTTGGGTTCAGGACGACTTTGTTTTCCTTTTAAAATTCTGGAACTCAGTGGTCGACCAGCAGAGTGTAACTAAAGATTTAAATCTCAAGAAGGAACAAACTCTTCCCCAGAAGGCAGCCTCCACCCTCTCTTCTTGCCCTTTCCTTTCCTTCAGAACTGTTTTCTAACACAGACCATGCAGCTACATAAAAATCCACGTGACTTACTGTCCAAAAACTCCACATACAGCCACTCCTCTCGCCCCCCCCGATTCCCCACGCTCCAGGATGGGGTACTGCTCCCTCTGACAGCCGGCTGCTCTTTCTTCCCCTCTTCTGCTCTGCGAAGCTTCTTGAAGGAACCTTTTACGAGTCAAAGGTCCCGATCAGGGGAAGGTCCAAACACTCCTCCGCTTCTGGCTGCAATTTCATCAGCGGCTGAAATAAAACCGGAGAGCAAACGCGATAACGCGCCGACCAGGCACCACCCTAAACGTTGCACATGGACCTACTACACCGGGAAACGGCGGTTCCCCCGGGGCTCCCACCCCTGAAGAGCTGAGGGAATATCACTAGAAAGGCTGATTTTATTTTTTTTCTCCTGACACGACCGGCGGAGGTTACCTTTGGTGACAATATTGTCCATACTTCCCCTCCCTGAGCTATTCTTAGGCCGGTGCGTCAACTTCCCCTCTCTCCGAAGGAATCCAGCTCCGACTCCCTTTCACTCCTCACCCCACTTTCCAGCGGCTCCCCAAATAATAATAAAAAAAAAAACCAAGAAAACCCTCAGGGGTTTTCCACCACCGGCAAAGCATCCCTGGCCAACGGGAACTCCCGGTCTCGCCCCTCCCGGGCCACCCCCCCCCCTTTCCCCATCCCCAACCCGGCGGGGCGGCTCCCGGTACCCGGGAGGAGCCACCAAAGCCCCAGCACTACCCTCTACTCCCCTCCCGGGGGGTCCCGAGCGGGGCCATGTGCCGCCGCCCCGGGTTCTTTAA